TGTTCTGGTTCTACAGCAGCCTTCCAACCTTTGGACTTCAGCTGGGACACTGACTCTGCAGATTTCAGAATTGCCAACTTTCATAATCGCATGAGCCAATTTTTTTATAATAAATATCTCTACATATCTCTCCATCACGTGCCGGCTTGCTCTCTCAGTCTCTGTCTCCGAGGGTGTGTGTGGGTGTGTGTGTATTAGGAGAAAGGGTAATGGTCAGAAAACTAACTGATTCCAGTGTTCAAGCACAGAAAACACGGATCCACAAGTTCTTATTTCTTGACAATCACACCACGTAATTATCTTTCTTCTCTGGAAAAGCAGGTCTCTAGCATAAATGCATTGGATGTTCAATTTATGCTTGCAATTTAGATCCTAGAACTCACTGCTACTGGCAAAAAAGGCCTAATCTTATTCCCACTAGTCTTGGAGCATTTATTTTCTTGTTGAGAGCATTTAGGTGTGGCCATCTGTGATAGCATAACACTAAGGTTCTGTGCTCCAGTCACAACTGACCAAGCAACAATCAAACCCAAATATTAAAGTGATCATTCAGAGCTGGCAGCTCCATCTCTAGGAGATATGCAGCCCTTGGGGACAACAAGGGAAAGCCAGATGCTCTGTTGAAGGCTAAATAAAATCCAAGGATTGTAGGTCATTCAAGAGCCAAGCAATGTCATAGTTAAACCTTCAAGAGAAGGTGGGAATTGAGGAATTGCTCGAGGGTCATGTTTGGCATAAAGGAAAAAAATTGTGATGAAGGAAATTCCCAAATTGTAACATGACCTAGATCCTTCAACAAAGCTACTGCTCCATAAAGCTGTTGCCAAATGCTATTTTAATCAAAGCCAGCCTTCACTGAGCTCTATCCTGGGAGCACAGCTATTTTCACCAAGAGTGCTCCGACAGAGTACCAGCGAGAAGCACAGAGTGATGTTGGCATCATTTAACTGGATTGCTGTTCATTGCGTCCTGCAGAGAGAGTAAAATCTTATTCATTTTTGCTGACATTGGTAACCACACTCTGTCTAAAAAGACAGAATAACATACTGGTGTTCGGCTATTATAAATGAACCCCTTTCCCACTGATATGCAAATATATCTCAATCACCTCTGCAATTCATAGACTTCCCCTTTCTCCCTCAAAAAGCCTAGTCATTGTGGCCATCAAGTCTCTGATCACATCTGACAGATATCCTAATATGCATACTATGAAGGCAAAGGATGCTAGAGAAACCACTCTTAATGGAAAAGGGGACGGAAGAAATGAATAGATTCAATAGAAAGAAAAGGCTCACATAGCACTCACGTAGCATTTTCAACTCATGGGGAATGGAACAGAGATTTTACCTCCAAAGCTGAACGTTTTCAAGCCTCACTGTCTTGCTAGCTATTTTATTTTCACTATAGAAAAATACAAACAAAAAATTCACAAAATTACTCATGTATGACTAAAACCACACATGATCAATGTCCACAGAAAGGGTCCGTTCAGTAAACCAATTAAGTGTGTAAAGCAACTGCCTGAACTAGGACCGTGAGTGGCTCTAAGGAAAGAGGTAAGATTTTAAAATTTCACAAGTACATATGCATCCATGAACGCAAATTTTACATGTCAACTTGACCAGGCTACAGGTGCCCAGATATTTGGTCACACACTATTTTAGATATTTCTAAGTGTGTTTTTGGATGAGATTAACATTTAAAACTGCAGACTGAGTAAAGGAGATTTTCCTCCATGATGTGGGTGAGCCTCATTCAATCAGTTGAAGACATTAATAGAAGAAAAGGCTGAATCTCATCCATCAATTGAAAACCTTAATAGAACAAAAGGCTGATTCTCCCCCAAGTAAGGTTTCTCCCTGACAGCCTTCAGAATGGTAGATTGGCTCTTCCTGCCTGACAGTCTTCAGACTGGGACACCAGGTTGTTCTGGTTCTACAGCAGCCTTCCAACCTTTGGACTTCAGCTGGGACACTGACTCTGCAGATTTCAGAATTGCCAACTTTCATAATCGCATGAGCCAATTTTTTTATAATAAATATCTCTACATATCTCTCCATCACGTGCCGGCTTGCTCTCTCAGTCTCTGTCTCCGAGGGTGTGTGTGGGTGTGTGTGTATTCTATTGGTTCTGTTTCTCTGGAGAACCCTGATTAATACAGCACCTCAGTTATTGGACTTGGGATCAAGTCTTGCCGGTACACTCTCAGTGCTAATAATTCCTTTCAGTACTAAATACAACTCTTACTCAAGTGATATATGACTATATATCACAATACAAGGTTAAATAAATAATATTCACATATTTGATAACAAATCTCTCTTACATTTAGAGCTAAACAATATCCGTCCTCAATCAGTAGCTCTCACACTAAATTTTAGTCAATGAACATTGAAACCTGACAGCCACAGATTTTCCCCAAGTGCAAGTCCAAAGTGGTTGACAAAGGTTATTACCATGATTATCTAAAATTCAACCAGTAGCCGAATAGTCACACCGTCATCATTCTTTAGAAGACATATGAAATTCACAGTACTAATGGGATCAATTTCAAAACATGGCCACAATGTTAAAAAACAGTCACACCTCAAAGGTGTGTTTCAGAAAATCCGGTGGTATTCAAGGGTGTTCAGAAAGACATTTCCTTAAGTGTCTTGCTATTGAGTTTGCATTCAGTTTCCTTATGTTTGGATAGGGGAAGGCACGGTGAAGAAGGCACATGGTTGGTATGCATCAGTTGGAGAGCACAGTCCCCTCATTACTGAAACTGGTGGCCCGGCTGTCCTTTGTTACAGCCCCCAGCATTGTGTCTGACATGTACAGGCACTTAGTACTTGTACCAGCAAATAAAGGCACTATGGGCTATGTATTAGCCATTTCAACTATTGTATGAACCCTACAGATTCATTTTGAGAATACAACAGCTAGCACGAGCTTGCCTTCAAGGTATCCAGTCATATCCAGGTAGAAAAATAAATACAACTTAGATATTGTCCTGTGGCAATACTGTCTCCATATTGTCATCTTCCCAAATAAAAATGCCACATATTCCTGAAAAGATCACAAACTTCTGAGCTATGATATTTTTTGCTGGCTATTTCCCAAGGAATTTTCCAAGAAGACAACCTAGTTCTAGAGAATAAGTATGTCCTCAGTCTCATGGTTTAAGAACCCAAGTAAAATCAACGCACTGTAAGTCACCTGAGTGGGTGAGTAGAGAAGAGATTAATATTTATTGAGCGCTTACTCTGTGACATGAAACATTCAGGTATGTTCTTTTATCATTTTAGTCTTGACAATAACCAAAAGTGGGTATCATATTTGGTACTTACAGTTAGAGAAGTTACACAGATAAGCAATTTGCCCAGCCAGGGTCATAAAGCAAATAAGGGTTATCACCAGATTAAAACCCGTCTCTCTTTGACTCTTTGCTCCTCCCCTACCTTCTATACCAGCCAGCCAGTCACTTGGAGGTGACAGTAGTGTGATCTCAGGAATAAAGCAAGGCCTTGGGAGTTTTGAAAAGAACATTCTATCTCCTCCTCTGCCAGACAAAGCACCCCCTCCTCGGGTGTCAGTCTGCCTCCCCCACCGGTTGTAAGATAACAGTCACAATACATGTTCCTTGACACAGAACCATAGCCTCTGAAGATTTATTAAATGCTTTGTTGTGCTAGAAAATTCATGGGAAAAATATAAACATACAGTGATCGGTATCAGAATTTTACCAAACTCAAAAGATGGTAGCTCCAAAAAGGAAAGTCAAAATCCTTTTCTTAAACTATTTCTCTTAAAACATTATCTAATTAGATTAATAAGTATATAGATTTATAGAATTCACAGTGATAAAATATCTAAAATTACCCAATCTCTACTAAAAATATATTTGTCTGCTTTCCTATATGTTCCACCTCTTTGCTTTTTGCTCTTGGCTATTTGGTTGGCTTGCTGCTCAATTCTTTAGCCACATTAACCGGGTGGCACTCTTTCTTGAGGAACATGAATACATGGATATGATGAACAAACACTGAAGATGTTAAACAGAAAACGTTACCTAGAATGCATAGCCCATCTGTGCAGTTTTCGGATTCCTGGCTCAGGCCTTCGCAGAACTTGCCCCCGTTCCTCGGGGGTGGTGCGGTGCACTCGCGGACGCGCAGATGCTCACACTCGGGACTGCAGACGGACCATTCACTCCACACTTCCCAGCTCCCATCCACTTCAAAGGGAAACAAAA